AAAAACGATGTATTTTTCTCTCAGTGCCTAGGTTCAGTCTATGGGGGGAAGTGGCTAATTTCACTGCGGGATGCAGCCACTGGACACTAAAGCGTCAGATCACCATCCCCGCCCTGCAAGAGCTCACAGTCTGCTTCTACCTGAATCTAGAGAAGGTACTGATGATAAATGTCCTGCAGTTATAACTGGTTTAACTGTCACAGGGATATTTTTAAAGGTGCCGAACAGTTAAAGAAATGAAATCTCACTAACTCCAAACATGTCTAGACCATAGGTTCCTCACCGTGGACCGCCTTTATGTACCGACATCCAAAGGCACAGTATGCTGAGCTGGGGCTGGGGTTTAAGGCGGGTCATTTAGTGGTCTGGTTGTTTGGCGTGGAGTGGAGGACCCAGAAGATCGTCCTCCTTGAGTCACAGTGGTACCCACTATGCCTGACCTGGTCACATACGAAAGACAGACCTGCCCTATACCTTAAAGGGACCCTGCTGAACCTCACGGCAGGTGGGTTTCCTCTCATCGTGTGTTCTTTAAAAGCCTAATTTTATTCTGGGATTAGAAATAAAGATTGGTGAAGAAATAAAGATTTTTTTTAGAAATGGCTTTTGGGATCTAGAAGTCTGATCCTCTCAGTTTTCTCCTGTAACTGATTCTGATTTTCCTACACAGGCTGTCAGGCAATACTGAATGCAGGTGCTCCTTTTCAGTCTATTATCTAAAAATTGTCTGGCTGGAACATCTCAATGATTTATATATTGATAACACGGTTGCATCAAGTGATAATCTGCTTACAAAGGTCACTATCAAGAGTTATAGCCGTCTTGTGTTTTTGCTCATGACGTCTTAAATGAATCTGGGCTACAGCTACATTCCCTGTTTAGAAAATGATATGGAAAACCTGCCTTGGCTGTTTCAGTGATTTTTTTAGTCTTTCCATGACCACCTTTTGTATGCCTTCCCTCTCTCACAGCCCTCTATGGAGCTGCTTCTTCTGCCTCCTCTTCGTGCTCCACACTGGCCCCCAATGGATCGCTCACTCTGGGATCAGGACATTTCATTGTAAACGGCAACATAAAGATCATTCCTATATCCCGTGTGTCGGGAAAACTCTCTCTGTTTCGGATGTGGGAGAGAGAACGCAGCAGCAAGGAAGTGGCATCAATGAACTGTACAGAGGGGGATGTTGTGAAGTGGGAGAGAAACAACTGGGACACTCAGATCTGTGCTCCACTACAAGATTGCAGCCTGAATTGCAGTGAGCATGCAACTTACAAACCCTGAATACTTTCACTTGAAACCTTTGCCGTTATCATCTGATTTTATTTTACTGCAGTAAATGCCACATTCATCAAGCTTTTTCCAGCCTCAGCGATAGTTTGTTGGCTGTCTCTGGTGTATCCCCTCACATTAAATACTCACCACCTGTCTATTTGGCAGTTAAGTAAATGTAAAAACAAATTCATAATCAATTAGATGAAAATTCGAAGCATTAATCAAGCAGCTTGTTTCATCTCTACAAAACTGGAACAGTCTACAGTTTCAATAAGATGATAAATGTTGACACTTTTACTTGTTAATGATTCTAATTTCTTGGCTACTAAATGCAAGAATTTTATGGAAAAAAAAAACATTCCAGTTTTTCTCAGAAATATGGAAGAAGTCAGAACTCATGACCCCCAAAGATTTTTTTCTTTTACTGGCCCTAATCCTCTTTCATAGCACTATAGAGCTTAGTTTACATAAGAAAATTCCTGTCACACAGTCTGTTCAGCCATATGAAAAATGCAGTATTAGTTCCACGTGAATCTTTCCCTCTAGCTGAAAGCGCTGCTCCAGTTTTAGGTCAGTGCAGATAGGAAAAAATACAGTTTGATCTTTTGTTCATATCGTAATACAAAATATATAGTTTCTGACAGTGGTTCTCAACCTATGGGGCAGGTCGCAGTCGTGGGGCAGGGAGACACACCAGGTGGCTGCTGGTGAAACTAAGCTAAATAAATTAATTTTTTTAGGAAAAATAAAAATGCTGATGCTTTTACACAGACTTTCAATTAAGGCAAGTCCAACTTGGATCCCTTTAATTGTTAATGATTGATGGAAACGGTGGGCTGTAAAGTCATTTTACTCTGCAGGCTTCTGAGGTTTGAGAGCTACTGGTTTATAATAATAAGCAGCCATTATTAAATAGAGGCAGAGTGATGTGGGAATTTTTAAGACTGATACCGATATTTAGTGATTCAATAATCCGATATATCGACTGATACTTTTTTCTTTATTCAGACAAAAAAAACCCAGAGATTTCTCAGCATTTGTTATCTGTAGTTATTTATGAGTCCTCACTAAGATAATATGACAATTTCTCCCTTCTCTCCTTTACTTTCAAGCCCAGTGGTATATTGGTCAGGTTCAAATATTTATAAGATAAAGAAAAAAATCTGTCAAACTGTATAAAATACATATATATATATATAAATATATACACACTGAAGTAGGCTTGAAAGTTATCACTCTTGTTTTTTTATGGTCTTAAATGAAATCTACAAACATTTAATGCAGTTTTATGTTCTCTTTGGCAGCATGGTCCATTTACCAAGTGAAACTGATAATTACTATTATTCGTCAGGATGAGAACAAAACTGAGATCTACACAGCCAGAGACATCGCACACCAATGGGTAAAACAAACAAAAACTTCAAAAAAAAGGTTTATTCATCTATTTTTAAATTCTTGAAAAACTGGTATAAGAAGAATTATTTTTATTACCTCTACCAATGAGTTCATGTCATTTATTCCATTTGTTTGTTTTCATTAACCGTTTTAATCAAAAAGTTATCAATGGATTTGTGAGTAACTCCAAACATGATCCACATTTGGTCCAAATTCTTTTTACCAGTTTCAAAATCTTTACCATCGTGAGACAGAGCGAACTCACATCTCCATAAATCCATAAATTACTGAAATAAGATCAATTTAGAGCATTTTTAAAAATATATATTCTGAAGAGAATTTCACAGACTCAATCCAGATATTGTTTTGGATCCAGGAATTTTGCAGAAGTGTGTAGGGTCAGACTTCTCGTCATTTATTTCTCTGAAAAATTCCAGACCCTGCTGCTTTGGACTTCATTATACTGTGCAGGCTTTACTTTACATTTATTCAGCAGCAGTAAATCTCAGCGGCTATAACACTGCCTTCTGCTCTTTGTTGTTCCTGCAGCTCAGACAGGAGCTGCCGAGCGACATCTATTTACACATAGTATCTGTGTTTGAACTATCCAGGTAGGAGATGATTTACATTTGCAATAAAATTCATTTGAATCTCACTGTGTGTCACACAATTAAATCTTGTTTTATAGTACATGTCAGAGGGGAGGAACAAATGGGCCATAAGGTTACTGAGTTACTTTGATTTTCTTATTTTCAGATCCAATACAGAAGACCTCGTAAAAACACCATATGAAGACCAGCTGGTAAGAACATCAGAGCTCAACTGATGCATCAGGTTGATGTATGTATGAGGGGATGTTATCTTAATGCAAATATAGCTGTGTCTGTTTGGCCAGTAGGACAGTAGGAGTGTAAGACCTGGACAGCATCTTTATCAGCATCTTGTTTCATACGTATTAAATGTTCTTCTATTCTTCAGATGCGGTTCAGTCCCTCCAGTGTCAACAGGTAATATGGTAGAGAGTTACAGTTCCCAGAATATTGTGTGATTTCTATCTGACTCTTTTTTTTTTTAATGTACAGACAGGTTTCTTTCATTTGTATATAAAACAACACAAAAAATTCTTTGCTTCTGAATTTTGCCAAATTTTCATAATCTGGGAAAAACATTCATCTTAATAGAAAAAAAAACCTTGGTTGGGCTTTAACTTTGGTTAAAGAGCCCAAAATAATCGAAATACCTGAAAAGCATTGTTGTAGAAGAGAATAAGAACGTGGTATCTAAAGCATGACTTTGTGTCTTCCTTGTAGTTTTCGCTGCAACGTATATGTGAATGTCATCCCTGCTGTGGATGTGGCAGATGTGCAGTCTCTAATAGCCACGAGGCTTAAAAATCCCTACAACGACCCCAGTGGTTTGTTACAGCTGTGGGCTGATGCAGAAAACATACACACCACACCTGTCGGTAGGAAACAATTCTCAACAGAAACTGATAATAGTTAATAAAAACTAATTATAGTTCTTATTCGTACATAATAACCAAAAAACTTTATATTTTTTATAATCTCTTTTGGCTTTCATAACAGTTTCTTCCTGGTCTTGCCTTGTTTTTTTAAATTTGGTATTTTTCAAAAGTCTCTTTTGTTGCAAATCGTTTTTAATAGTTTTCTTTCCAGAAACTTGCTTTGGATGAAACGTTTGTGTGATCTTTATTTGAATCCAATAAATCCCAAGTTTTCCATTAGTTTCTGTATTTCAGATTCTGTTTTCTTGGTCGAATAATCTCTGCAAAGCTTTGCAGTAGCTTTAGGTCATTACCTTGGTATATGCACCAACAAGCAATCAGTTTAAGTTTGCAAGTTTTTAATGTTCTCCAGCTTTTCTGCAGACACAGAGGAGGAATATCAAACTGAATTCACATTTATATTCCCAAATTTTAATTGACAAACTGGACTTTCTTGAGTGCATAACGTTCAATCACAAAAATTAATTTATCTAATTAGTAATGAAATAAATGAAATTTTAAGGGTGTTTTTCTATTTATTTCCATTTTTATATATTTATCTATATTTTAACATGAACAAATATCATTTTGATTGAAGCGTTTGTGCATACATTTGGACTAACCGTTACAGAAACAACATTTTTGTAATAACAAATATTGTTCATTTAAAGTGGACGTGGCATAAACTGTTCATTGTGTGTTGGTCTAACCAATTAATAAGCACTGTACGTGTGCGGTCTTGTGAAGCATTTGCAGAAAAACTCATTGTGGGTCTCTGACATGCATCTTCCAGATGGTTTCTTAGTTGAAACCAGCAGCTCCAGTACGATGACACAGCCTTCTCCGGTGACAAATATTACCTCTACAACCACAATACCATCCTCCACACCCTTTTCTACCACCGAATTTAGACCCCCAACCACAAGCATCATCACAAGTACAAGTTCTACTACCGTAGCCACGCCCATGACCATTGCCACAAACCCTGAAAATGTCTCCGGTCAGTTTCACAACTGCATGTACGGTTCATCTGACATCATAAATTACTTGGTGAAAACTTTCTGATCTGTCTCAATTTCCTTTGCAGAACTGTATTTTCAGGTTAAGGTGAACGTGTCCATAACAGGCGGCTGTGACTCAGAACAGATCCTTAGGTCCTGGGTAAGTCTTACAGAACACCCAAGCTCTTATTTTAAGATACAGGAAACTATTTTTCCTTCACCTGGTTAAATATAGGGGTGTAAAATCCTGACAGCAGAAGTAATGCAGTAAAATGAATGCTAACTTCCTCTTCACAGCTCAACAATAGCCTACCAAACAACTTGATGACAGTGCTTGAATTTCAGCTGGTCCCCAAAGCTCAAAGGTAGAGTACCACACATCAACTCACCCAGAAATATGTCACATTCTGATGAACGCAAAGGTCTTTCAATTTGAACAACTTAAGTTACTGATCTCACTTCCAGAAATCATCCTAAGCTGCAGTCAGAATACCCTACCAGAGTAAGTAAGCATAAAAAATATGTCAGTGCCTTCTTAAACCAAAAGGCTGTTTCTCCCCTGAAAGCTTCATCTTCATCTTTTTTACTCTTTCCCAGGTATTAGCAGACACAGTTTCAAGGTAAGCTTTGTGTGTCTCCGTACAATTTTATTTAGAACTGATTACAATAAACAAAAAATTTGAAATTCTGCCTGGAGGAGGAGGAAACTGGCTGCTACTTTGTTCATTTTTATTTGCCTTTACGCAGATAATATTAAAAAAGTATAACATCATGATGTTATATTTGCTATGTACATGAGCGCATTGTCATTCTGCAAACCATATTTAGCTCTGTTACTTCCAGAAGAGAGAGCTGTATTTTCCAGGTCCAAGTCATGATGCAGTCAGACATACATGAAATCGAAGAGAAGATACGAAACATACTGCTGACACCTTATAATCAGGGGTCCATCTCCATACTCACTGAGGACATAGAGATAAGCCAGATACGTGAGTTCAAAAAAAAAAGGGGGGGGGGACCCAGCCCTGAAAATCTTCTCATTTTGATCTCTTTCTCAAACATCTCAATGTTCCAGTGTCGTTTAAGTGCAATGCAGAAATGCGCCAAACCCTGAAAGGCCTGTTTGTGTGGCCTGAAACTTCAGGAGGAGAAACTGCCAATCAAACGTGCCCAAAGAACCCGGACCACCACGCCACTCGACACTGGTGAGAGCTCGGACTGTTAATCATTTTTCATTTGTAGTCCAAGTGAAACATCTCACAAAATATGCGATTAAATGGCAACAAGTCAGTGACATGGTTGAGCTTAAAAGCAGCATAGTGTGAAAGACTGCTGGGCAACTCGCTGCAATGAATCTGTGGGTTTCGTCATCTATGTAGGTGACTTTTTTTAAAAGCTTAGAATTATCAGGGCTGCTGGATTTGTCTACTCAACAATATAAACCTTTACTAGTGAAAAAACATTAAAAAAATTACTGGGCTTCATCCTCTTGATGCCCTGGATATCTGCAGCTAAAGTAATGGAAATCAATCCAGCAGTAAAGATTTATTAGACCAACACTGCTAAAGTACACATGCTCTGACATTTGTCCTCATGTTTACAGTTGAAGTGTGCTGTGTGTTTTATGTATTTGTCTGGCTGATAAATTTAACACATGGATACGTACGAGTCTGAGTATTAATCACATCCGTTGGTATACATTTATATGGCTTTACTGCTGTTCTAAAGACTGCGTGTTGACTCAGTGTCACAACACTCAGTGATGGCTCTGCTGTAAATGCATTAATCAAGACCTCAGTGTCACTAATGAGAGGTTAAATGATCGGTAATTCTCAGAATCAAAATGGCTCACAGCTGTGTGAGGTCTCACATAATGTCACCAATCCATCCAATTAACCTCATTTCTGTTGTTGGGTAGTTAGCCGATGCCATTTATTTTCCAGTAAGAGTGCGGCTAGCAAATGTTGATATGCAACATGCTGAGGTGGCAGTATAACCAGATGATGAAAAATTTAAAAAAAGGTTAAAGGTTTTACTCTCTGCAGATTTTTTTATGCATTCTCCCTCTGTCCACCTTCTGTTTGACAGTAAAGGCAAGCTCAATACCCATTGGATGGCTCCAGAGCTGGAAGACTGTGGTCCAGTGGTGGAGACCATCCCTGACCTGTACCATGTCAGTGTAACTGCCGGTCAGTCACAGACTTTTTCCCCAGCTCTAAAATTACCCAAACATCTGTATTTCCAACATAAACCCTGTTACATATTAGACATGTGCTGTGTTACAAGTTAGAATGGGATAAAAATGCCTGTTTCACAAGTTGTGCCATTTAACTTCCAGATAGTGCTCAGGATGTGGTAGATATGATTGAAGTTTTACTGAGTAACCACTCCACACTCAACTATGATGAACTGACGATAGTCCTCAACAAGCTGCAGGACATCATTAACGTCAGTGTGGTCACACCAGAGCTGGGCCAAGCTCTTCTCAACATTATTTCAAACATACTGAAATCTGAGAGCAACCTGGTGCCTTTTACTAACAAGTAAGGAATGAATGCAGAGCGAGAAATAAACTTTTCCAACAATCTGATGTGGGGACACTAAAATCTTCTGTTTTCTCTCCAGCATCCTGAATATTACAGAAGCAATGGGAGACAGGATAGTGGGTTATGAGGGTTCCTCCACCCTGGTCGCTCCAGCCATCGGCATCGCAGTGGTGGATGTAGTTCCTGGAGAGTTTAACAGTTTAATGATTGGAGTGGCGTCTGATGCTACTGGCAAAAAACCCGAGGTCGGCAAAATTTCTCTGTAAATTTTCTTCCTCATTCTGTTGCTCGCTTCGAACTTCAGCAGGTCTACTCGACTATGTCTACAAGGCTGCTGCCATGTGATTGGCTGATTTAATATTTTGTCATTTGCCCCATCTCTCTCCCCTCGCTCCATCTCAGCAGCTTGCTTCCTCTTCCTAAACCTGGTTCTGTTGGAGGTCTCTTCCTGTTAAAAGGGAGTTTTTCCTTCCCAATGTTGCCAAGTGCTTGTTCATAAGGCAGTCCTGTGCTTGTTGGGGTTCCTCTCTAATATTGTAGGGTCTTTATGTTATAATATAAAGTGCCTACAGGCCACTGTTGTTGTCAACTGGAACTATATAAATAAAACTGAATGTCTGCATTAAGAAGCAGGTGAACAGGTGTTACAAAAGGTTTCCACAGGTGGAATAAAACATGCTACTTTGAACCAATAAATGTAGGCTTTTCTACAGTCATTGCTTTGAACAGTGCTGTTTGCAGCAGCTTGAAACTGACACTAAACATGGTCTTTCTTGGCGATATTTAAGCAAACATACAGATGAGTCTGTACTTACCGCATTAATGCTGCTCAAATTGTCTGCAGTGTATCTCAGAAATCAACGGTGCTGTTAGCTGAAACATGTTGCCTGAGCTTTAAAAAGAATTAAGAAAATTTGTCTTTATAGATTTTTATCAACAGGTATCCCCTCAACAGCACACTGGCTTTCATCTCCCTCCCATCTGCCCTGCAGCACTGCTTCCCCCAACAAGCCCCAAATCAGACCCCACCGAGAATCCAGTTTCAGTTCTACGCCATCGCGTCGCTCTTTAAGGTGGTATTTTCTATGAAGCCACTTCTTTGTGAAGAATTGCTCCTAGATGCTTATTAGTGAAACATGTTATTCATATGTACTGTGTTTTAACTTCAGGGGAGACAAATAGATCAGACCCTCAACACTTTTGTGGTGGCAGCCAGTGTGACCAACGCCAGCTGTCCAATCAAAGACCTGGAAGAAGATATTGAAGTCACACTCCAACATCTTATACCAAACACAGTAGGAGAGGTTGTTCTATCAATATACACTGCGTGTGATGAAAGCACCTTTAATCAATGAATGCATTAATGTTTCTTTTGTCTCTGATTAAGCCTTACAAGCAGGTCGAGTGTGTGTACTGGAACTTCAATAAAAACAGTACGTCCTGATCTCAGTCCTATTCTTCCAAATCAAATCAACTCTGGAAGAAGCGGGCCACATTAAACATTACTCTTCTCATGCAGATGGACAAGGAGACTGGGACAATTATGGATGTCGGAAATACAACAGCAGCCCTTACTACACAACCTGCCTGTGTGATCATCTCACACACTTTGGAGTTCTTCTGGTACAAACTACTACTTTAATATTGTTTTTCTGTTTCCTAAAAAGCACATTTTGGCAGAGCACTTTAAAGTTTTGGTAACGGCAGCAACAACACACACACTACTAATTATGTTTTTCTTTTTCTTGTATCAAACTGAATTGCAGTGGTGTCAATATGCTTTGACCAGGCTTAACCAGCAGAGGGCACTAAAGGAATAATATTTAAAAATAAACTACTGCAAAGAAAAGTTTGAAACAGTTCATTATGTTCGAGTAACTCCCGACAACATATACTGTAATGGGATTGCTGTTTTGCAACAATTGCACCATTATTAATAATAATAAATATGAGAAATGCCTCCTGGGCTATTCAGTACCAAGAACGCCAAAATTAAATGAATAAATTCATCATTAAATAATTAAATGTGTCTGTAATTAATTAAAAATTGAAATAAATACATAATGTATTGAATCTATAATTAATTTCTAATACATTTTATTTAAAAAGATTTACTTATTTCGCTAATTATTCCATGGTTTCTGTGGTGCAGACCAGTGTCCCTTATTCATTACTCTGTGGCTTTCAGCCTACAGAGTAATGAATGCCTACCGAAGAGGACTTTTTTAACCACTTTAAATTATTTGATTAACAAGTTGTTTCCTTTACATAAATTAATGTCAGATTTTTTCCCCTATATAATTAAACACAATAAAAATCCATAAAACCCCATTCCTATACTTTATCACTGAGCTATGATGAAACTAATTTTACTATAAGTGCTAGAGATAGTAAAAAGTGTTTCAGTGTAGTAGTGGTTAGACAGATGCCAAGAGCTAATAATGCACACTGGAAAATACAGCCCTGTAACCAAACGTCTCCATGTCTCCAGGATGTCGCCAGGACTCAGTTGGACCCTGCTAATGAGCAGATCCTGACCATTATCACCTATCTTGGTTGTGGAGTCTCGTCACTCTTCTTGGGAATTACCGTTCTCACGTACACGGCTTTCGAGTAAGCGTTTTCTGCTTACATGCAGCACAGATCTGTGGGTGCTACTACAGGCCTGTCAACACCAATTCAAATGTATGAGAAAAACTATTGTTTTAAGTGAGGCACACATTGTTTTCAGTGTTAGAAAACAGCAAAGGATATGCTGAAGTTTCACTGTCATGGTGGTATTTTAATGCATGCATTTCTCAGGTTTGTTGAGTTTACTTCACTGCTAAAGGTTTTTCTGTACGTGTATCTACATGTAGCACAAAAGTATCATAGTACCTAACCTCTCGACTTTCTCCACGATGTCTATATCTCTCTTAGAAAGCTTCGTAGAGACTACCCCTCTCAGATTCTCATCAACCTCTCTCTGGCCCTGCTGGGCTTGAATCTGGTGTTTCTGGTCAACTCCTGGCTGTCCTCCTGGGGTCTGTACCCTCTCTGCGTGGCTGTGGCCTCCACCCTGCACTACTTCCTGCTTGCATCATTCACCTGGATGGGATTAGAGGCCGTTAACATGTACTTTGCCCTTGTTAAAGTATTCAACGCCTACGTGCCCTCTTATATGCTCAAGTTTTGTTTTCTGGGATGGGGTGAGTCACATTTTTGCATGACTGAATTTTAGTTAATGGCAACACAGAAAACATTATTACTTATATGGTGTGATGACAGCTCATAAAAATCTCTAATGGGACGCATTATGCTCATTTCCAGGTCCATCTCTAGATCGTTAGACTCTAGCAGAGATGCTCTGCATGAGTCACGGTTCCAAAATAATCTTTATCATATACTGGGCCCCAGTGCAGAGTATTAAACCATTTTGCTCCTCTGCCTTTAGGTCACCTTCTGATTGGCTGCACCTCACCAAATCAAAATTTAAACAGCAGATGGAGGGAACTGGGCCATATTAATGATTTCCCCTCTTTCTGAAATCATAAAGAGAATAAACTGCCTGACAAGGAGCTTTTTGAGCAGTGTGACACCTAAACTATAGCCTCACAGCGATTACTTAAGAGTTTGGGTATTTTTAATATGATCATCAACAATTCTAAAAGTGCATTACATTAGACAGCTATTTTTATATAACAAAAAGGGTTAATTTTAAAAGCAATTATATTTTCTGTTTAATATTTTTCGGAGGGTATGACATTGTAAGTACATACCCTTGTATGTATTTGAAATCTCCATCCAGGGCTTCCTCTGGTGATTTGCATCCTGGTGCTCATCGTGAACAAAGAGGCCTACGGCAGTCACATCTACACAGACACTTCTTCTTCTACCTTACAGCTGCTGGACAACTCTGATAACTTGTGAGTTTTGGATTCATCTTTTATTCATTTTTCATATCTTGATACATACTTGATGATCTGAAGAGAGTTGAAGGTTTCATTCAGCTTTCACATAGAATCTCTCTCTATCTTTCTATCTAAAGAATCTATATCTATCTCTTAGCTGGAAAAAAATGAATATCACAACATATTTTCTCCAATTACAAAAGCAAATCCATGATGTAAAACCACAAATCTTCAAAAATAGATAAAACCATTTCCTTCACATTTTATTTTCAGCCAGATCAAGCTGATCTGATGTCATATTGGAAGTCATGTAACATGGTATTACACTCTCGGGCTATCCAAACACATGATTCAAGAATGATAAGTCAGTAAGACGTTTTCATTAGTTGCAGAAGGTTCAAATACGACCACACTGATCATTCATCGTGTTCACTGATCTCGTCTACTAATGCCTCGTCTGTCTTTTTCCTGTTTGTCACCCTCCCAGCTGCTGGCTCCAGGACGATGTGACATTTTATGTGTCTGTGGTTGCCTACGCTGTGTTCATCTTTCTCTTCAACACCGGGGTAAATCATTTCACATTTCATTAAAGATTTTACTTGTCAGATTGTTATGTGTTCTCCTTATTCCTTTTAAATTCAACATTTTTCATTTGTTTCTATATCAGGATTTAACAGGCAACGTTTTTGATAATCAGTACAGACTGGATAACTTGTCTTCAGAAACATTTTTTATGGCACAGATTCAACAAGTTGCTGGAAAGATTCCTGAAACATTTTGGTATCCATTGACATGGCAGCATCACACAATTGCTGCAGATTTGTCAGCTGCGTGTCCATGATGTCAATCTTACGTTTTACCTAATCTGGTGATCACTGAGGCCTGGTGACTGTGAAGGCCATCTAAGAACCATAAATTCACTGCCATGTTTAAGGAACCAGTTTGAAATTTTCAGAAATTTTTGACATGGTGAATTATCCTGCTGCAGCAACCATGAGAAGATGGGTACGCTGTGATCAAAGAGGAATGGAGATGGTGAGAAATAATACTCAAGCAACTTGTGGCATTTGAATGATGCTCAGATGGTACGAAGTGGCCCAAAGTGTGCCTAGAAAATATTCCCAACACCCTTACACCACCAGCAGCCTGAACTGTTGATATAACGCAGGATGGATCCATGCTTTAATGTTGTTTATACCAAATTATGATAATCAGAACTGATCATCAGAAATCTTCATTCTGATGCTCAGCCTGAATTTCCGCAGGTTGCCTTGACCATGTCTACATACCTAAATGCACTGAGCTGCTGCCATGTGATTGGCTGACTAGACATTTGCATTAATGAGCAGCTGAACAGTTTTATCTAACAAAGTGGCTGGTGGAGTTAGAAAAAAAACCCTTCATATTAGACACATTCTTTATTACTGTGTAAATTTGCTTTTGACCCTTTTACCATTTGCCTGTAATCCAACCACTCTGAGGCTTCTTTTCAATCTCCTCTTAGGTTTTTGTGGTGGTTCTAATCCAGATTCGACGTATGCGAGCCAACAGCCCGGCGGGGACCAGGAGTGGAGTCATGCAGGACTTGAAAGGAGTTGCCAGTCTAACCTTGTTACTGGGGCTAACATGGACTCTTGGCTTCTTTGGCTGGGGGCCAGGCAGAATAGTTCTGCTGTATCTGTTCTCTGGACTCAACAGCCTGCAAGGTTGTCCTTTTGTACAGAGGCAGTTAATGAAAGCTCGATAACATCCAGATAGAATTTTATTTTAAGTTTGAAAGTCATCAAGCTTATTTTTACCATATAAGTAACTGTTTAGCCTCAATCTGTTGAGTCAAAACTATTTTGAGAAGTAAGGATAGTGTAATATGCCAAAGATCAAACATTATAAACATGCACGGACTTGTAAAAAGATGGTGCTTTACTTTTAAGAAGACGACCTTTTGGGTGTTGTTGTGGATTTATTTATTGTGTGAAATTTTGCTAACCACGTGTGCAGTTTTCCACAACAACCCGCTTTGCAACCGGAGTTCAAAAGAAGCTCGGATGAGGGGAAAAAAAAAAGATGAAAAGGAAGATTTCAAACAGCCAAATGATGCAACCATATCACAACAGCTTTCACCTCTACTGATCTCTCTTATAATACTTTCTTTTGTATGAGTGAAGCAACCACCGCTGTTTACTTCTCTATATGAAATTATTCCAGAGAAAATTAGAAATACCTGCGCGAGGAACAAAGAGCTTCAAACCCAGATCTTATCTAATCTTGAGCTCACGACCTTTTCTTACTTTTCTATTTGCTGCAGGACTTTTCATATTCTTCTTCCACTGTTTAATGAAGGAGAATGTCAGGAAACAGTGGAGGATTCACCTCTGCTTTGGCCGTTTTCGACTTGAGGAGCACTCTGGTATGAGACCCACATGTAACACAGTGTGACCTCATCAATTCAGTTCAGTTACTTTTATGGCAACCTTTTTGTCGAGGCTCATAAAGTAGTACTGAAATTAGTACATGATACTGATACTATGCAAAGACTCGATCACACTCAATCTAACAAATCTGTTTGTTTTGTTTGGTGCTGTTAAAAGTTCAACTTATGGGGTAACTTGCAATGAAAGCAAAGCAGCAAACACTACTTTGGGCTTCACTTATATTACTTGTCTGCCACTGTTGTCCAGAATGGAGCAACTCTGCTTCGATTGGAGCTCAGGCAAAGCCCAAAACAAATCCTCCGGGAGCAATAAGACCATCAGTCGGCTCAACTAAGTCCTCCTCCACAGATAGCACGTCAGCTTCCTCCAACTACAGCCAGCGAGATTCATCCTGCAAGAGACCAGATCTGGGTGAGAAAACCAGGCACCACACGTCCTGACTAAACTCATAACTATGATTCGGTCAAGACATTTCAGTACACTTATCATGAGCAAGATAAATTAAGTACATGATGACATTTCAGCGAGACGTTCATTCTTCGGTGGACTTTCCTCTGTTGACATTAAACTTCCTTGGTTCTAATCTGTTATAAGACATTTAAGCTTACAATTAAAAGTTACAGTTCATCCTGTTTAGATTCAGGCTCCTTAAAGTAAAACGATGATCACCGATCACCGTTGCATTCAGCTGCCAAAATTCACACTGAAGGTCACTGCTTACATTAATGAGACTGCACTGACGTCAAGTAATTACCAGGCTTTGTAATTAAGCTGGTTTAGACAGAAGTAAAAGGACATGTCTGTTATTCCTTAAAAAGGTTTCCGTCAACCATCTGACAGCTCAATTTCAGTTTAAACTCCCAGGTATACATTCTTCTCACACACACAGGTTTTTCACACCTCTGAATTGCTCACAGATGTTTAATTATCTTGTAGGCCTTTTTATGAATTCGTTGGCGCTTCCTCAACCTCAGAGAAGCCCTTTGGGTCCGGGAGGTCCGCCTTCCTGCAGAGGGGTCAGCCCAACACCTGGCTGCAGGAATCACGTGCTTCACTAGCAAGAATAAAGAAGAGCGCAACACATTGACTACCACTAAAGATTTGTCTTAGTGTTTTTAGCCATGCAACAGGAAACTGATCAGAAATTTTGCAAATATTTATTATTAAATAAATCAATAATGTCAACTGATTCAATGTTTAGCAACTACCACTAATACAGCACTGCTTCAACCTAATGCAGTTTTATCGTGTTTAATTATTGTAGCGATTTGTGTGTCTGCAGCATCAAACTGTGTGAATGACATGTTGTGTTTTTTTTTAATTCTGAAACTTTCCAGAGTGGACATATTTTACAAAATGAAAGTTATTCCATGAGGATAAGCGTAAAAAAACAACAACAAAAAGAAAAAAAACAAACAAGACCCACAGTCAAGTTTCCACAGTCCCTTTCTTAACCAGCACGATACGGCACTTGCGGGTAACATTTAATGAGGCTGCCTGCTGATGATCTGTTACTCAGTCTAAGGACTGTGATGCTCTTCTGCTCTTGATCAGTTGAGTACTGGTGCCTTTTTTTCCCCCTCCTTTGTGTTGTTCTGAGAATAAAGGCGAGCACAGCGTCGTACAAAATCTTTAGTTATTCGGCACTTTCCCACATTGACTAAATTATTAGAACCGTAACGGAGATATGCTTCAGAAAAAAGTTTGTTTATTTGAGACTATAACCCAACCCAAAGGCTGATACTGTACACACATAACAAGCCAGAAAAAAATCAATGTTTTAACCAGCATAACCAATTTCTGCTGAGCAAATTATTTTTCTAATGATCGTTTTAAATGATATACATGTAGGTAACCCAGAATGTCACTGGACCACAGAAACAAAGTGTATTTAGTTATTCCATTAAAATCCTCAATAATTTAGAATAAATAAATGTCATTCAGAATTCTTCTCTGCTTAAATGTTATTTTAGATTAAAAAACATAAAACAAATATGCTTTTATTTCAGAATCAGGCACACTGGAAAGTGATCCCAAAGTTTTAAGCACCTGTTATATACCACAACTACACACAGTCTAAGCATAGTGTACTTTAATTCAGGATAACCACAGATGCAATCCATGCGATGTCAGACCAAATTAAACTGCAAGCATCGCTGCAGCTTCATTAGATATCGTTTTTCATGCAATTCTATTGTTTTTGTTTTTGCTAAATATTGTAAAAGAGCCTGTAATTATGGAGACACGAGCAGTTGCATCAGTTCCAAGGAGGAGTTGGTTGCCAAGCAACTGGTGAGTAGAGCCATGGTGACAATGAACCGTGGTACCACACAGTTTGTGTAAGAAAAAAAAAAAGTATTAAATTTAAGATGACAGAAGTCTCACTGTGTTCATCTTTATCCTAATTTCTTTTGCCAGAAACTGTTCTCAAACCAAACAACTCCACAACCATCCCTCAATCAGCTCACAGACGGAAAGATCACCACACTTTATTCTTTCGTGGCTGCGAGTGCCATTTTGTTTGTGTAAATTCTGACACCTTTGTTCTGATCAACATATGATGTTTCTGAATAATTAGTCTAATTATGGACGTCTCTGCTGCTCATTTTAGAGAGCCCATGGAAACAAGTGTTTTTAAGCTAGCGCAGTCTCTGTATGCTTTAATCATGCAGCTGCCATTCTTTGAGACGGGCTTGTAGCAATGTGGAGTCACAACTTATCCATCTCCCAGCACGATGCGTGAGAGCTTACTAAGGATATTTTTGTTTTATATTGCCTGTCTCACCTTTGCATCTGCAAAAAAGCTGGTGACAGTTCTGTCACGCTTCACCTTTCACTTCAAAAATACAAGAGAGGTGTTGATTGAATTGACAGGTAAATTCTGAAGTTGTAGTTTTCGAGCTGTACAAGTTCCTGATTAATTAATACACGTGGAAAACAACACAACGTTGTGCAATAGAAAATAATACAGAGAACGTGTGTTAATATCTAACATTTAAAACTAAAGAAAACATTTATTTTTCTCCATTTTACTTCATCTTAAGTTACTATTAAACACAAGAGAACACATGGACCTCATGACAGACCTTATTTTGGTTCTTCAGGTGCTGATTTTACTCTGACTGGACTTAGTTTGGCTACAAATGCACAAAAAATAAATGAAATAATTCACATTTAAAAATGGTCAAATGTTGAAAATAGTGAATGGCAGTAATATTAAATAAAAAACGCACACAGTTACCTTTTCATAACACGAGCTCCATAAAAGGAATTGTTCATTTTCAAGCTTCTGGCAATAATGTTGCTCAGTTCTACTTGACACGACAGAGAAAATGTTCCCCATTTTGTGCACTGTTAGCCTTTGAGCGATGTGTTTCCACCCACAACTCATTCAAACTGACTCCTTCAGTCTGGTGCACAACAGCAGGGCCTTGTTTATTTTTCTCAAACACCTACACAAACTGAAAACTCTAATGTCGTAGATAAAACAAAACTACAATTACTGTTGAAGGTAATTAGCAAAGTGCAGAGAAGAACAGCAAATCAAATCTCTCAAGGAACTTGGGTAAACATCGGCATGACGGGTTTCCAGCCGCGAGTTCAAGCGCTAAAGCAATCCACCAGCTTTTTGGAATTCCACAGTCCTGCGTGGTTTTCCAGGAACTGCTGTCTCACCAGCTCTTTGACCGTCTGGTAGACACTGGCTTCGACCTATAAAAGAATAAAACCATTTACATCATCAGACATCACATAAGTGAACTAAAAAGCCAACCTTCTATTACTCATCAAATGGAAAGCTTTGCACAGTTCACACTGAGGATTCACAAACCTTGACACTGTGGTACGTGGGAAGCTCCAGCAGATAGGTGTGCCCACCCAGCTGTGCAACTTTGAGGAAATAACTGTAGAGGGCTCTCTTGCAAAGTCTGCTTGAGTAGCCAGGCACGCTCACAGAAGGAGAGCTGGAGAAACATTAAAATCCACCATTAACATTTTTCCAACAGTTAAGGTTTCCCACACATTACTTAAATTTGCTTTATGGTGCATTTGTCCTCTTTAAGTTTTCATTATACAACAAAAGATATACTATTTTTAATGCAAGCAATTTTTAGGATACTCCCTCCCCCCCCACACACATTTCTTCTTAAAACTGCCGTTGAAGATTTTATTAGAAAAGAACAAAAAGACAGGAAGGTGAAGAGAAAAAGGGGAAATGATTGAAAAGGACCTGGGGCAGAAACGAATGCAGGCCACTATAGTAAGCTCTCTTCCTCTGGTACATGTAATGCACGCTCTACCAGGTGAGCTACAAATTATTTAAAGCTTTAAAAAACACTTTTCAGCTGTGGAGATTATGTGACCAGCAGCTAAGAAGGAAATGAAAATTGCCATTCCTCTTCCTGTTTTTGCTGTGCAATCAAACCTTCATTTTCCTGGAAATTATTTGCAGCCACTGGATATTAATGCTGATGGTGTCATTCTGCCACAATGCAATCAATAAAAAAACATATTTTGCAGCACAAAAGTTGTCCTTTGTTAATTGAAATGCATTTTCCACCTGACAAGATTCAACTTTTCAATTCTGTATCATTTAATGTCCACATTCTTCCTTCGTTTGCAGTCCAACTTCATGTACAGGCACTGCTCATATTGACATGATACAACAATGTATCCAAAAGCTGTTACGGCTATCAGTTTGAATTGGGAGCCCGATTAAATACTCACACCTTCTTATTTAACCATATTAGACAATGTACAGTGATTGCAGCCAATTAGCCAGAAGCAGTGAGGCATTTAGGGTATGATACCCTCCAAAAACCAAAAACTATAAATGAAAAACATGTCCTCTCATTGCAGCACTGCAGCACTGTTTTTTGACCTTTATAGCAGATGCAATGCTACTCTGGTGGGGACACTCTCTGCTTCAGAGCTTATTTGTGCTAAACATGTCTGGCGAGACAATTTTATCACACTGCCGAGGTAAAGTGTGGCTGTGGTCTGGCTGAGAGAAAGAGAGGAAGGGTTTCCTGCAGGCAGCACTTACCACTACCACTAACACATTTCTTAGGGGATACTCTGGAGTGAGACCCAGGGGAGGAACCCAGCAGCCTAAACAGACAAAATGTTGAGGAGGAATTGAGTGTGACTGCACTCACAGAAGCTGACATTAGCAGAGCCTGTTCAGGGAGACTCATTTTCAAATAATTTAAGGTCTCTTCAATGTTCCCTCTAATTTTTCATGTGTCTGAGCGAACACTGTGAGCAACAGCAGACGTGTGCACTGTGGTCACGCCAGCATCCAAGTTACATGGTTTATTAAAATAATCAAATTACAGCATTTACATTCATGCTAGACTACTTTTAATTAACTGCTTTAGCCCACTTACAATGAAAATTAAAAAAAAAAAATGTTGTTCATGGCCTGTGTAGTATGTTAACACTATTGGAAGTAAAAATAACTTGGACCCTAATTTTGAAAACACAACTTTCTCTCTTTTTTAATATAAAGCTCTGACTTGTATTATGAGTCTGTGGTCTGGGGAGAGAGTCCTGTAACTCTCTGTCTGCAAAATACAGTATATAATAACCAATATTTGGGCAATTAATTATATAGTTACCTCTAGAGCAGGGCGATATGACCAAAAATATTTATCACGATATAGATTTGAAAATTTGCGATAACGATATAACTGACGATATAATTGACACTAGACAAAATACTTTACAATCCACAACTTTATTAGTTAAAAAGAAAAATCAATGTATTTTCACTTAAAGAAGCTGTTTTTTAAATTTTTTTTTTATCTGCATTAAAGTTGTATAAAAACTTAACAGTGCGAATGTAAATTCCTCGCTGACAGTTTAACCAAAAGGCATTTCCAGTGGAAACTGGCCGACATATCCTCAGCATAACCATGTATAATATCCACAAAACTTAAAAAGAGGTTATACACACACAATACGGTAATATTATGTTGAAGCACAGTACGTATCACTCCACGAGACTCCTGCCTACGATAACCGTAATGCTCCGACACATAATGTACCACATAAAATCGTTTCCAGGTAAGTAAACACAACCAGAATTCAAACATAAGGCACACGTGATTATAAGGGGCACTGTCGATTTTCAGAAAAATCAAAGGATTGATTTTAAGTGTGCCGTATTTTCCAAAAAAAACCGGTAATAACGACGGCCCGCAAGCATGCTCTACCAAAAATAGTGCTTTGTTGTGTATCTGACGGACGAAAGCCAAACCAGTTCCACACCACTGAAGTTGCAGCATTTTTACAAACCAATTCTGGTTCATCCGTTTCATTCAACGATCCGCTTTCGCCCTTCTCATTCTCCGTGCTTTTTCCGCCATGTGCGTATGAAAACAAAGGCACTGCGCATGCGTGTTTTACCCATATTCTATCAGCGATATTTCATTTTCTTGTCGTTGCGCAACATTATACCGGTATTACCGTGAACGGTATGATATGGCCCAGCCCTAGTTACTTCTTCAAAAAAGTAACTGAGTTATGCAAACAACAACGTTTTTGCAGCTGTTTACCTAAAAATGCAGCCAAGGCGTTTTTTAAAAATAAAAATTTCAAACTATTTAAAGAACAATCAGCTGTTCTGCATCAAATTTGATGCCACACAAATTATTTGTGCCACTCCAAAAAATAATTTCTGTCCACTATGAGATAAAGGAGAACAACAGCCTGATACCTGCAGGCCTGACAACAGGAGATGTATCACTCCTGTATCACCTGTAACATTCAGTAGTTGCCTCATTGTTCTGACACACACACACACACACACACACAACAAAACTACACTACACACTAACTACAAAAAATTTGCGCTAAACGTCGCAAATCTCTCACATCTCAAAACACCGCTGTCACTCCTAAAACTTACCCCTTCCTAAACAACTAAATGCCATGTTGCCATATCATTTTTTGATTGGTCGACATGGTACATTGTTCCACCAATAGGAAAAGGTGGGGTTTTTGGTTTTGCTCACAGGTGGAGAGTGCTTTCGAGCGTTTTTCTTATAAAACGCCGTTTTTACCGTTTCTTCCCACAGTAAATATAAACAACGATAGTATTCAGGAAGAAAACCAAACATTGCAGATATTTTTTATCATAACTCTGGTTTTACGTGGCCTATCAACACTATTAAAAAAACTGATATAAAGTCCACAGTTTTTCCATCAATTGTTCCGTCTGTCCTGCTCACATCTCCAATGGTTGTACACGTTGTCATTAACGTGGCTTCACTCCACATCAGCCACGCCGCTTTGCTAGCTAAAACACCGGTGTCGGCACATAAGGACGCTGTCATAGCCTGTCAACCACGTTGATTAGCTGCGTATATACGAATGTGAATCGCATTATTGGTTGGACTATGGGATAAGGTGGCATTGTTCTAATCCCATACGGGAGCAACCAGTTACTTACTAACACTTCAAAACAGAATTGTTTAAGTTTTAATTTCAATTCAGGTTAGATTTTTTTTCTGTGCGCAACGCAGATTTTCTGTGCGCAGAGACCGTGCAAAAAATAGTATTATTGTTATCCATGAACTTTCAAATGTACTGTTTGATTAAATAGGATTCATGTTTTCTTGTTTTTATGACAGGTGGTTGAGTAAATCTGTAAGCACTGAAGATGGAAAGAGAAGTGGAGTCTGAGTACTATTAAAAGAAAGCATGTGGAGAGTGTTGTGGAGGTGAAGAGTGTCAGACAGGATCAGACAAGAGTTTGAATCTGGAAATCAAAGCAGGCATGTTGACTATTAGGTGTGTCTGCAGCACAGGCTGGATGTCAGAAGAGAAAGGAATTCTGGAGTAATTTGTATGAAGTGGTAGAGAGAGGGTGATGATTGGAGCAGATTTCAATGGACATGAAGGAGAAGGGAACAGAGGTGTTGAGGTGGTATTGGGTAGATATGATGTTAAGGAGAGAAATGCAGAAGGTCAGATGGTGGTGGGTTTTGTAAAAAGGATGAAAAGGGCTTCAAGAAAGGGAGGAATCTGGGGTAATGCATAAGACTGGATGAAGGTACACACAGGACTGAATCTTACACATGAGGTTCAATCTGAAAGAGACTGCAGGGAGTTGTCAGGGGAGAATGTAGCTAGGATAGAATGAAATGGAAGCCAGTAGGATGACTCTGGAAAACAAGAGGAAAAAGCAAATGCAGAGGTGAAAGTTAAAGGAGGAAGAATGTTAGTCAGAGTCCAGGGAAGAGTTGAGACAGGCTCTGGGTGATAGGGAAGAATTGCCAGATGACAAACGTACAGATGAAGTGGTGAAGGACACTTCCAAGGATTGAGATAGAAATGTACTAATGAATGAAGAGTGTTTAAAAGGTGGATGGAATACATTGAGGATGATGAATGAAGAAAATGAGAGAAAGGAGGGATAGACAGAGCTGTTGGAGCTAGATCAAGGATAGAGGTGAGCAGCAGTTATGGTTTCATACCAGTTTCTGATTTTCAAATGTTGATGAACACTTACAAGTATAGAGGAGGTCAGAAGGAGTTGCACAGTGTCTTTTTGGACCCAGAGAAAGGATGCCATATCATATCATATCACAGGAACAGTGGGACTAGATGTGGAATTCGAGTGGGACAGAGAAGTACGTGAGAGTGGTCCAGGACATGTGAGGTGTGCAGTAGAAGTGGCAGGTGGGTTCAAAGTGGGGGTGGGATTACATCATCAGGAGTCTCTGTGGACTATGATGTTCATAGACAACATTGAGATCTCTAGTGAGAGTAGGGAGGGAGTAGAAGAGAGCCTGGAGAGGTGGAAGTATGCCCTGAAGAGAAAATGAATGAAAGCCACTAGAGGCAAGACAGAATACGCTTGTGAGTGAGCAGGAGACAGGAGAAGATGAGCTTAAATATCTGGGGTCAACCATCCAAAGCACTAGACTAAGAGCACAACAGAAGAGTGTGCAGGCAG